CTCATTAAACATAGACTTGAATGGATTTTAGAAAGTAAAGGTTTATTATCCAAATTACAATTTGGATTTAGACGTGGCATGGGTACTACAGATAGCCTTAGTGTCCTTATTTCGGAAATACGCCTTGCTTTCTCCTGCAATGAACACCTCATAGGAATTTTCCTTGATATCTCGTCTGCGTATGACAATGTCCAGCTTCCAATACTCAGGCAAAAGCTGCAAAATCTGAGTATTCCTGTGAGACTGACTACTATCATATGTAATCTCTTAATGGCTAGATCGATTTCCTTGCGTGTTAATGGCTCTCTTTTTCCTTCAAGACTGGTCTGGAAAGGTCTCCCACAGGGCTCTGTCCTTAGTCCCCTTTTATATAATATCTATACATCTGACCTTGAATCCTCTGTTACTTGTTTCTGCAAAATCCTACAATATGCGGATGACATTGCTATGTATATCGCCTCAGATTCCTTTTCTGACTCCTCTTCCCGCCTAAATTCCGCGTTATATTACCTCAATCAGTGGCTAGATGATCATGGGCTAACACTTTCTATACCAAAGTGCTCAGCGGTCGTTTTTAGCCGCAAGAGACAAATCCCCGTTATTGAACTCTCTCTAAATAATGAACCTATCTTAGTACAAGATAAAGTAAAATTTTTGGGTGTTATCCTGGACTCAAAATTAACAGGCCTGCATCATTTAAGCTACGTAGTAAATAAATGCGAAAGTAGTATTAATATCTTAAAAGCCCTTTCTGGTGTACGTTGGGGTTCTCATCCATATAGCCAAAAACTCTTATATAATGCTATTATCCGAAGTCACTTAGACTATGGCTCATTTCTGTTAGAACCTTGCAACAAAATTGCTCTAGCTAAATTTGACAGAGTTCAAAGTAGGTGCTTACGTATAATTATTGGTGCAATGAAGTCATCTCCAGCAAACGCTCTGCAAGTCGAATGTCTAGATCCCCCTCTCCATCTACGTAGACAATATCTCTCAGACCGCTTTTACCTCAATATTGCCCAATATAACTCCCATCCTCTCCTTCCTATCTTAGAGTCTCTCTCAGAACAAATAAGCCTATCAAGTTACTGGACCCATAAAGAACCCCCTCCCATCCTTAAGAGCTTTACCAAGTACAAAAACCCGATCTCACTTATTAAAAAAATAGACCGTAACCCTCTTTTCGAATTTGATTATGATTCTCTAATTTATCGTCCTAATGTAATTCTAGATTTTGGATTAGTAAAACATTCACCTTTTGCTAATCAAAAGTTTAACGCTATTGTCGCGGAAACATGGCACGACTGGCTTCTGATGTTTACAGATGCTTCTAAAACTGACAAATCAGATCATGTTGGAGCCGCTGTATGGATCCCAAAATATAACGTTGTCCTCAACTTCAAATGTTCTCCTTCATCCTCAACATTTACTGGTGAATCCATAGCTATTATGGAAGCAGTGTCCTATGTAGAAACACATAAATTAAACAAAACCCTCATTCTTTCGGACTCCCTAAGCTGTTTACAAGATATTTTAAAACTACCTTTTAAATCCAAAGAAAACTTTTACATAACTTTGCAAACTAAACAAATTTTACATAGGTGCTATAAGTCCGGTATTAATGTTACCATTGCGTGGATTCCTAGTCATTCAGGAATTATAGGGAATGAAACAGTAGACTCTTGGGCCAAAAATGCTATCCAACATGGTAATAATTACAATTTTTATTTCACTCGAGATCTACGTTGTCAGGCTAAACCACACATGTTAGAGGCTTGGGATAACTTGTGGCAAAAAACTAGACAATCTAAAGGCAAGTATTATGGTAATATCCAGCCCTTCATCCCTATAAAACCATGGTTTGCTACTCAACGAAACTTAGATAAGTGGGTTACATCAGTTATATGCCGCCTACGTTTGGGACATGTCTGCACACCCGTATTTTTATACAAAATCCGAATCCAAGATCACTCTCTGTGCGAATGTGGCTTAGCGGAAGGAACGTTAGAGCACCTATTTTTTGAATGCCCCAAATTGACCCTTCCCCTCTATGACCTGTTGCCTCGTACCTTTCCACGTCCTGTAAATATTCCATTCCTTCTTACCTTAGTCCACTCTCCTTTGGTTAAGGTACTGGCCAAATTTATATGTACTAATAATATAAAAATTTAAAATATAAGTATATGTCACTCTTTACACTTCTCGTCTTTTCATTCCTTCCGCGTATTGTCTTTGCTATAATACACTCATACACACATATCATATTAAATTTATTTTTCCTTTGCATGTATATAACATATTTTGTGTTGTCCTCCTTTCCAGAGAACTCAACTGAACGATCATTACTGAAAAATGTCATAATATAAAATTCACGGAGTCTTCTCTAACCCTGACATTGGCAGAAAATCACCGTTGCTTCTACGGTGGAAGCCATATTTTAAAAAAGAAGAAGAAGAAGAAGGGTTCATTGACATCATACTCGAAATCCAAAAGTAATCGATTAACAGTTTCAGAATAAAGATCCCAATTAACGAGACGTAGGTTTATACGATTTAACAAAAGTTTATTAACTTCATCTATAGGAGCATGTTGTTCACCTGACGGAGTTGATGAAGAGTTCTTTGTGTTTATTTTAGTAAAAGTCGGCAGGTGATAACTTCCTAACGGATCATCATGAACCGACCACTCGCATTTTAATGATATGGATGGGGATACCATAGTTAAATCAAGGCCATTGGGTCTCCAAATATGAGAGCCAACAGTAGTAACTTGCTTATCATTTAATAGTACCAAATTACATTCATCTAAACAATCAAGAATGTCTTTACCTCTTGTATTAGTGGAGGTACAACCCCACATAGTATGATGTGCATTTAAATCTCCAGATATGATAGTGGGTTTAGGAAGAGACTCCAAAAAGAACTTAAATTTGGCTTTAGTAAAACTAGGTGTACTATTGGTAGGACAGTAAATACTGGCAACTGAATACCAAGAATTATTAACTTCAATACTAATAGCTATAGTTTGCAAAGAATTGTCGAAAAAAGAGTGAAGTTTTTTATATCTAATACTATTATGTATAATAATCGCTACTCCATTGTGGTTATTACCACAATCATTTCGTTCTATACAATAATCTTTAATTTTTAATTTGTAATGTGGTTTAAGCCAAGTTTCTGAGATGAGAGCAATGTGAATATGATGTTCATTTAAAAATTGTGTAAAAATATGTCGATTGCTCAGTAGGCTCTGAGCGTTCCACTGTATGATAGTTAATTGGTCTCGATTGAATTTTGTGAAATAGGTCTATTACCAAAAGTATCATATAACACATTCAAAACACTTTTAGTGTTAATAGATGTGTTCTTTGTGTTATGTAGTGAAATAAGTTTGATTATGCTTTCTATTAAAAGTGATAAACTCTTGTTATCAGAATTTAGAATTGAAATTAGGTCTACATTTTTTTTAGGTTTGTTACCCAGTTTAGGAAATATTTCAGTGCTAAGTATATCTCCAAAAGAAGCAGGTCTGAATTTAGATCTATTTTCAGCAATTTTCTTTTGTTTAACAGGGCATTGCGGTGATACACTTGTGTGATTTCCATTGCAGTGTACACAAATAGCGTTTTCCATTCCAGTTGTACAAGTTTTATAATTATGCTCACCTTTGCAGATGCTGCAACGCTCAGAATTCTTACAGAATTTAGCTAAATGTCCATACCTCAAGCACCGGTAGCATTGTTTAACTGGTGGTATATATGGAGTGACATTGTGGCGCCAACCTCCAATATCCAGATATTCAGGTAATACAGATGCAGCAAAAGTAATTGTCACGGTTAGAGTTGGCTGTAACACATATCCATGAGTCAAGGTATTTTTTCTTAAAATTCTTTTAATAGCAATAATTTTCTTAGAACTCGATATCATAGTATATATTTTTTTATTAGATATATTTGTAGGTACATTTCTAATAACGCCTGTAACTTCTGTTGAAGAAGCAGGAATACTGGCCTTAAAATGGTAGTCATTTAAAAAAGTTTTATTATTTAAAAAAGCATTGGCTAAGTCTGGCTTTTGAAAGTATACTCCGATTTTGAATTTATTTATAGATCTAAGATAAGTTACCCCTTTATTAAATCGTTTTAAACAGGAGGAGAGTGAGAGCAAGTCTCTGGATCCAATGGTTTTCTGACTATCTGAGGATTCTACAAAGACAACAAATTCTGTCCCAGGGGATTCCTCGGGATATCTTCTAATATAATCTGTGACGTAGTAAGGTTTATACTTATCGGCCTTATCAATTTCAGATTCTGAGTCAGTAGAAGTATCTTCCGAATATATATCCTTGTCATTACAAGGTTCATGGTCTACATCACCTGAATCGTCATCTTTTTTTTTCCTTTTTCTACAACTGCGCTTCCCCATGAATGCTAATTATATTACTGTCGCTGAATTTAGTGAAAATATAATATTTTATTCAATAATAAGAATTGATAGAGATAGTTTTAATAAATTAATAAAAAAATTTAAAAAACCCGCTTGTTCTTATTCGAGTTTCCCGCCTTTTTTTTTCTTGACAAATTCAATTGATAGTTGGTTGACACTTTCTGATAATTGACTTTGACATTAACGTTGAGAAATTAAGTAGGCATCTTTCATAGATAAAGAATAGTATTGCATTGCATTTTTTTCTTAGTTAACAGTCATAAAAAAGACCAATTTATGTGAAGTGAGGTATTTCGCACCTACTTATTTCTGTATACGATTTAACAAAAAAAGCATTTTCTCCCTTGTTTTTAGATTTACTCATATCTACTTATATTTTATTAATTTTATTTATATGCATTACCAGGGCCTAACGTAGGGGGGCAGGTGGGGACATAGTTCATTATAAGGGCAACAATTTTTTTTTGTAACGGTGTTAATAATCAAGCCCTGGATATAATTACTAATTTTAAAATACATAAATAATATAATAATTGTACATAATGAAACCACTCCTTACAGCACAGTAATTTATTACAACACAAACAATTTATGCGAACAATATGTCAACTAACACCGACGATACAATAATATTATAATGTAGTATAGCTGTTTACACAAATAGATTCATTCTGATATGTAATGAAATTAGCAAAAGATCAATTAAAAATGTCTATTTTTAAGTTTTCGCGTTGTATACACCTATATAAGTTCACGATCAAGATTTAACAGGCAAACGACACCTACACACCTTTTTATTGCTGTAATTACCTGTAACCTCATCGTGTTAAGTCCCAATCGTGAACTTAAGTATAAAAATGTCTATTATTTATTAAAATAAATTCATAGTTAAGTATTTTAATATTTGTGTACAAAATAAGGTACAAGTAACAGGTAAATGGATAGAAAATGCTATCTAACATTTTTGCTATTTATTACACAAAAGTTTGGATCCAAAATTAAGAATCAATTTATAAGCTCCAATCAAGCTAATTTTCCAAAAACTTTCGTCAAAAATAGGATATTTTAAACATCTTGGCAGGACAAAGATATGGTTTAGTCATATTATAGGTAGATATTTGTTTATAGGTACAAGTAGCAATAGAATTTAATGAAAATTTTGAAATATACATCAATAATAGTCTGTTAATAACAGTAATCAAATGACAAACTTAAATTGAATAGTTGGTACAAAACCTAAGCTCGTAACATAACCCTGCTTTATTTATTTATCTATATGTAGTAATTATGACAAACAGGTAGGTATATAAACTTAAAAAGGTCCCTGTATTAAAAAAAAAGTAAAAAAATCACAACTTGAATTACGAACCTACAAGTATTGACTTTAATGGCAGATTTTGTCCTCAGATAGCATAATTCAAAATTACCATTACTTTATATAGTGGTTAGTAAAATAAAAAAAAAAGTCATAGACAATATAGCACAGTGACAGCAAGAATATAGGAACCATAATAAAGGCTGTTAATTCTTATGTATACATATAGATACATGATTCTCAATAGGTACACAGTACAAAATATGGTACGAAATTATTATACCTAATAAGGTACGACCTATCATTATACAATACCACTAAATTATACATCTACATGATTTAATGTAATCTTTAACTCGATCAGTAAACATTATGACTACAGATTAATTATTAAGAAATCTCTCTTTTTTAAGTCCATTTTAAACTGAACATATTTTTTTTTTTAGATTAATTGCACAAATTATGTATTGATTACATTGCAGTTTTCGTGTGATAAAAAGATTAAATGACATTCAATAGGCAGATCAAAATTTACTGAAAATTAAAACATTAAAATTTTATTATTTACATTTATAAAATTGCTTAACTTTTTTATGGATACTTGAGTGCACCAATATTCCAACTATGTTTTTTATTAGTTTTTTTTTATACAACTTAGAATGGCAAACAAGCTGACGGCCCACCTGATGGAAAGTGGTAACCGTCGCCTATAAACATGAGCAGTAACATGGACATAACAGAGTATACTGTTTCGCTCATGATACCCCCCATGCGTTGCCATTCCTGAGGACTCAGGTGTTATTCCTCTGTACCATGTAAATTCACCAAATAGTAGCCCCATTGCTAGCAATACACCCTGACAGGCCCACCTCCTCGTGGTTCCCTCTAGAAACTATCATGTTCTAATTCTAAGCGAATTCATCACGATGAGCTAATTGATCTTTCTTTTCATCCTTACCTATCATTTCTCACTGGTGCCCCACCAGCGTATACCGATAGCGCAAGTGGGGTTACCATTTCATTATCATTTACAAAAAAAAAACTTCATTGAGACGTTATTTAATCTATCAAATAAATAGATAATCGCAATTAAGAATTCGCAAGTTATGCATATTAAGTACAAAGATTTTTAGAAATAACGTAATAAAAATAAAAAAAGTTTAATATTAAAAAAAAATATTTTCGTTATAGAACTTTATGTTTTTGTTAACTTGATGTTAAACTAAATGATCTTGTAACTTAGTCCAGTTACATACGAACTTGGAAAAAATATAATATAAAATTATGACAGCTAAATAATTATTACTAATTTTTAATCTGCCTACAAAACATCACATGTACGAACAGTTTCACTTGACCTAGTACTTAATATACTAAACTACAATTATTTACATAGAAAAGTGACATTTCACATCAGTCTTACACGGAATTATATCAGAGGCCATTAGCTCAATTCGCTTCGAAGTCAGTAGTGATATAAATTCCACCGTCTCAGTAGTTCACCTACTTGCGTTGCACTCGGAAATTTTTCCAATTAAGTGTACATATATAATATAAGTATACATAATAATATAGTAATACATTTGGTACTATTTCATAGCAAAAAAAAAAACAAAGTTCGTGTTTTAACATGTAGAAGAGAAACATTTAAATTTAAAATTTTTTAAAAAAATTCCAACTATGTTTATGTCTAAATTTAGTTTCAAGATTTTTAAAATTGGAAATGGATAAAAACTCCGTCGCAAAACCTATTACTTTCATTTAAAACTAAACTGCTAAATTGATATTGGTGAAATTTCTATAGGACTTAATCTGAAGTAAATTCTTTTAAACAAAAAATAATCTTTCAAATCGGTTCAAAAAACGACGGAGTTCTAAAGTAACTAACATAAAAAAACCACAAACAAATTGAGAACCTCCTCTATATTTTGAAGACGGTTAAAAGGTAAAGTGAACAGAAAATATATAAAAGTGTGCGAAACGATTATTTCCAGTTTTGGTACTTCGAACCGGATCGAATAGATGAAGAGAATAAAAAACATCAAAGTTTTGACAATTCCAATAAAGTTCAAATATTTCCCAAGCACAATTCCAGTGCCCGATCTAGTAATTGCCGCACCGGGCAGAAATAAATGTATTCGAAAAGATTAGCCGTCATTTCTTACTCTGGCCATGCGCCCGGCTCGCCCCCCTAGATCGGGCCCTGTGCAACGTTGCGTAAATCTAAACTAACTAGACATCCATATGGTTACAATTATCACTAACTACATTTATAAATTTAAATAATAAGATTATTTATTATTACAAGTTAACCAACAGTTTACGTTTTTAATATTTGACACCCAACATTGGCGGCACACGATTCAAACATGTTTGTTCGATTTTGAACTTGTTACCTACTTAATGCCAATCTGCTTGCCGCGCGTGGCAACTACTGGCCCCCTTCCAATAGGAGGAGGCCTATGATCAGTTAGAAAGGTTAATATTTAATTTCTAAAACTTGTTTTTTTTTTATATAATTCAAATATGGTAAACAAGCATACAGCCCGTCTGATGATGCAGTAACACTGCAGTAAGTAATATTAAAAATCTTTACTTATAAACGAAATAATGTTTGGAATATTTTAAAAACACATCGTGTATCACCAATAACATTCTGGAATAGATTTAAAACAATTCAAATTTAAAAATAGACTGAGGTCGATTCTGAGACGCTATTTCTTTAAACATATTTGTAAAATTAAAATTTCCACTTGATATTTGAATCTTCTTCTTGAAGTCGATTAAAAATTAATTAAATCGATGTCTTAACCCTCTGTCCGGGCATCCTGCGATTTCCGCGTGCAGTATCTACTTAATTTAACTGTACGCATCCCGCGATTTCGACGTGATCGCATTTTTTTTTTGTTTATCGACGTTGTTATCCCGCGATTTTTGTTTTGGTAGATTGGTATTGTTTCTCAGAGTCTCGCTAGATGGCTAAATATTCGTACTGCTATTTGTTGCCAAAGCGATGTGTTTTATTGTTGTGAAAAAAAATATACGCGGTCAGAGGGTTAAAGAACAAAATACACTCTAAAGTTTCGTAATTATACATTATAGTTTAATGTAACAACAACCGGTTTAACTTACGTGTGATTAGATAGAGAAAGCTCGACTAGTTTCGGGACCAATTCGTGATCCTTAAACGCGAGCGACTGTAATGCAAGCGCCAGCCTGACTGTGCGCGTGCTGTAGGTGTACACGGTCATAATCTCTACTTCTGAATCTAGTTACGTATTAAGTTAAACTGGTAGTTAATACATTAAAAATATATTTTTATTAGAAATATGTATATATAACATATTATAAACTATCTAAATATGTATACAGTTAATTAATAAACATTAAAATAGTTTATACACATTAAAAGACAAATAAATAGGTATTATTAAGCGTATCTCAGAGGTACATTTTATATGGGAAAGACATAAATTGTATAAAATTTATTGTATTTCAAGATTTACAATAACGAATTTAACGTTCTTCACAATTACTGCCAGTAATAAGAAATAAGAACAGTTTAAATACTTTTTTGTATTTCGAATTTTATCTTTTTTTTTTACGGGCAATGTTTGTTCGATTTATGTAAAGAGATGTTACTTATCTTTGGAACCGAATGATTTATCTATGGTCATGAATAGATTTAAAAAAAAAAATCAAAAGAGAACTATATTAGTAACAAGTTCACATTCTACGCGCCAATTACATACGTATAAATATAGTGGCATATCTTAAATGTTTCCACTTTTTCGTTACTTATCTCATAAAACAGTCATAAACATAAGAATTAAATATACTGAGTGGAAGTGACATTCATGTACTCGCTTGCTTCAAACTTCGTTTAAGTCGGGAGGGCTGTCACTTCATTTTCAAATAATTTAGGAAATAACGCGCCATACGTTCCGAGTGAGCGAGATGGACGCTCTCACTACGGTGTTTGTTATTTGCATACCCTGACTTTTTTTTTCTTTAGTTCTTAAGCCCACCATAGACGGACTTATAATATATTAAATTACACAATAGCAAGGCATATAACGATATATTTTCTGAAGAAATCTTCGAGTATTAATGAAGAATACTTCATTACTACTCGAATATGTCACAGCGTCAGAGACGAGACGCTGTAACGTAAATCGGCGTAAGCCCCTCGAAGAACACTTTCGGATGAAGTTAAAACAATTGTCGGAAACAACAAACACAGTAAGTTAATAAAATTTCCTGTTACACATATGCATAGACATCGTTAAAAAATGAAGATATTTTTTTAAAATTATATCGGAGTGTCCACAGATGCAGTAATAATACCTACATATTTTTATTACGCCAGCCAAATAAGTGGACAGATATATCATTATTTATAACAGTAGAATAAACCGCATAGCTAAATATTTATAGATTGTTTCTCACAAAAAAACTGACTTCCTGCCAAACTGCCAAGTGTGGCAACTATTGGGCAAAACTTCCCTTATTGGGAATGTTCAGCAGTGGACATTAACGGCTGAAATAATAATAAAAATATTGATATATGTATATTACAGCTTCGTGTATGATGGGCTTAAATAGAACGTGTGCAGCTAGCGCCAAGTAAACAACAAAACTATTATTACCGAATCCACGGAAGTGTCCGTTCCACCCGGATATTTATTCCTATATTTATATCATACAAACATTCCGGTGAATAAGTGTTTTAACAATAAGTGCATACATGTATGATTGTTTTGGAAATATAGTTATATCTTAGATTACATAGATAGAGTATCTTCATACAAATGCTTTGAAAAAACGGATCAACTTTTTCATACATTTTTACTTGACAAATATGGGTGATTCTTTTATAACTTCTATATTTATTTTGTCTTATAAATTTTACCACTTTTCAATGCGTAAATACTTATTTTATCTATTAAATAATTAAATATAGATACGTCAAGGTACATTGTGTGCGTAAGTATATAGAACACTGATAAACAAAACGAGTCGGCTAATTTGACAATTAACTGACAAAAAGTTGATCCCTTTCTCAGGCTCGATTCTCTATCTAAGTAATTTAAGAGTTATATTTAATCGAAGTGGAAATAAATCTATTGTAAATTTATTAATGCGATACCTAATATGATAAATTACAATGTGCCACATGACCAGTATCAAAACTCTACAGTCTGCTTCGACGGAACTTAATGAAAATATAAACAAATTGTGTTGAAATTATCATGTCAACATCCTCTAAATGTAATTAGTAACAAATCGAATCGTTAAAACCGATTAATCGATGTTTGATCTGTACTACTGTTGGCCATCAGCAGGCTGTCTTTTTTTAAAACACAGGGGACATACAGGCATGCGGTTCACTTGATGGTAAGTGAACCGCAATACCAGAGGCACTACAGGTGTGTTGCCGGCTTTTAAAAAAGGAATATACTCTTTTCTTGAAGGTTATGATGTCGTATTGATTTGGAAATACTGCTGTTGGAAGTTGATTCCAGAGAGAATGAACATCAGCTGATCTTTTTTTTTATACAACTTAGAATGGCAAACAAGCTGACGGCCCACCTGATGGAAAGTGGCAACCGTCGCCTATAGACATGAGCAGTACCATGGACATAACAGAGTATACCGTTTCGCCCATGATACCCCCCATGCGTTGCCATTCCTGAGGACTCAGGTGTTATTCCTCTGTACCCTATAAATTCACGCCATATCCCATCCTTCAAATCGAAACACAGCCATGCAAACACAACTGCTTCACAGTAGAAACACGAATGGGACAGAGGTACTCAAGCAATCGACTTTTGTACAAAGTCTCCCTGTGGTAAAAACCTTCTTATGATCCATTTGTTTATATTTCCATTGAGTTCCATTGCAATAGACTATACATAAGAACATTTCTTACTCCACTATCTGCTAGAAATTCGTCTTAACTATATAATACTCGACCAGCGAGATACTCACAATTATTACTAAGAAACTAAACCACGATCAAATTGTTTGTCCCTCGAAATTCATAGTTCAGAATTTAGAAATAATAATTAAAGTCGACAAGTTCTTAATTGAAGTTGTATAAAAGTTCTTATAGAATATGTAATGACAAATAAGTTGATGGAAACTGTTTAACACAGCCTATATACATGTGCCAATACCATGGATATTACAGAATGCAAACCCCCATGATACCCCTCACACGTTACCATCTCTGAGGACTGAGGTGTTTTGCCTCCATACCCTGTAACTACAATGCTATATCACAAACACGAGTCACTCTACAGTTTCCCTCGAGGATATTGGACTTTCTATAATAACAGGGCATTTAGCTATCAAGTTAGTAGAGGAAGCCCAAATTCCAACCATACCATATCTCACACTTCAAACTGGAAAAACCATGCACCACAGTGGCAGAGACACAAGTTTTAAGTAGTTAGATCATTTAATTGATAATAACATCTCAGATTCTAAATATTAAGATGTTTACAAGATCTTGAGATGGTCAATCTGCTTGTATTTTCGAATATTTGACATTAAAATCTTTGGTAGTCAATTGAAACATCGGCCTCATGAATAAGATATTTTAGATCCCAGCTAGTATTCTTAAAAGACTTCTTAAAAGATTCTCAACATTATAATAAATAAGATATCTCAGATCTAAATTCTGAGACAGTTACAAGATCCTGTGATAATCAATCTGTCTCCGACAATTTGACAGTAAAATCTTTGGTAGTTAACTAAAACATCGTCCTCATGAGTAAGACATCCCAAATTCTAAATTCAGAGACAGTTATAAGAACCTGAATATCGCAATAAATAAGTAATCTCAGATCCTAAATTCTGAGATAGTAACGAGTTCCTGAATATTATAATAAATGAGTCATTTCAGATCCTAAATTCTGAGTCAGTTAAAAAATCCTGAAATTATTAATTTATTTATGAAAATTTGAAAATAAAATCTTTGGTTTGGTTCAATTGACTAATTGAAATATCGGTCTCAAAAAACCCGTCTCAGACTCAAAATTCTGAGACGGTTATAAGATCCTAAGGTGACCAGCAGTTCTCTCATTGTAATGAGCAGCCTACACTGATGGCGTTGAAGAGTGGTGCCGCACCCAACCCCCCGTCACCGTCAGTCACCCCGGCCAGGTATTTAGCCCTCGTGCAGTCCCCACACGTACAGCTGTCAGTCAATGTGCAAAGACCTCTGGCTGTCGCTATGGCTTCCCATTTGATTTGCTCATCCAGAGTTCCGCTTCTGCTTAAGAGGTTCTGTTGAAAGTGGAAAATATGCTCACAATTGTATACTCTGATGGGGAAGACAGAGTTATTTCGATTGCTGCAGTATTTTTTATGCAACTTAGAATGGCAAACAAGCTGACGGGCCACTTGATGAAAAGTGGTAACCGTCGCCTATAAACATGAGCAGTACCATGGACATAACAGAGTAAATTGTTTTTCCAAAATAAATAATTTACAAACTCTTTATTGTGTGCGATTATTGTTACACACAGGAATGGCAATGCATGGGGGGTATCCCCAAGCGTTGCCATTCCTGAAGCCTAAGGTGTTATGCCTTTGTATCCTGTAAATTCACTGCTATTCCCACCCTTCAAACCAAAACACAGCTATGACCTAAAAAAACACTGTGCAGCAGCTGTATTTAACAGTTGCTTCACAGCAGAAACACGTGTGGGACAGAGGAGGCTATGTTGACTTTCCTTTTTTGTTATTGGCAATAAAACATTTGATACGCTATCTTAAAGTGGTGTATTTCGTTGATTCTCTTACTTCTGAAATTTATGCGTACTGTTATAGCACTGTAAGGCCTAGTGCCCTTGCAGTCCATCTACTTTAGTCAGCATTTTGATACTTCCAGAATCCTATAAGCTATTTTTAAATCAGTCCATCATGAGCTTTGTAAGAGAGTAGTTGCCTAAGGATATGCGCGCCACTAATTGCTCTAAATCATCATCTTCCTACCCTTATCCCAATTATTATTTGGGGTTGGCGTAATATGTTTTTTGTCCATATTACTAAAGGATTTGGCTTATAGTTTTACGACTGGTCGCCTGTCTGACGTCAACCCTTTTTGGGAATTGCCCTAAGTATCTTCAATAATTTGTCAAGAGTGAAGTTTCTTTTTAAAAACTTGTCTAAGGAAATCCGTATATCAAGTACGAAGGATGTTACATCGATGACACTGATGCAAAGTGTAGGTTACAACTGGAGAAGAGTTGCAAAAGACAGAAAGCAATGGAAGTCGGTTTTTGCTAAGAGACAAAACCGAACTTCGAGACATATTATAAAAACAAAATCAATAAAAATTACGCGTATATTTGTAATATATTACATGAAAGAAACTTCGGGATATAAAGGCTGTTGTATGTTATATCAGATTAAAGAACTAGTTGTAAAATAAATGTCAAGATTTTGACTGGAATATGCCATTAATCCTTAAATACCTGAAGTTTCAAATTTCATACCAGGGTTTGCATTGTTTCATTGTTAAATAAATTTAAATATTTTGATTACCGTAATGCGTAAAGTATCAAAAATGATACCAAATGTTTTTTAAAAATATAGTTTTGATTTTTTTACAATTTTTCCCCATTAATCAAAATTTAATTATAATAAAAAAAAAAAAAAAAAAAAAATACATTAATAAAAAAAAAAATCAGGCTTTTAAGGGTTAACAATAACATTTTAATGAAATGATCCACTCACCTGCATAACCTCGACGTTGCTCGCTCTCCACATATCAATATCTCTCATTTGCTTCTCCTCTTTCGACCTGCTCTTCTTGGGTTTCTTCAGCGCACCACAGTAGACGGACAGGTCTTCGCTGGCTGCCAGAGAAGTCTCGTCAAATTGTAAAGAGTTAGCGTCACACGAGGTGGAAGCACCGTCTAAATCGAGGCAGTCCTCGTCGAGGTTTTGTATCTGATCGAAGTCCTCTTGTTGAAGAGTCGAGATGGAGGTCGCGTCAGTGGACGTTTGATTTCTTAGTGGTAGGTAGTTGAACTGGTATGGGATAGAAAGAAATGTCGTGTTAAAAAATTTATTCCACATATATCAGCATTTCAGCAATTCAACACAACTGATTCATGGTAGAAACACGAACGGAACAGAGGTACCCAAGCAATCGATATTTGTACAAAGTCTCCCTCTGGTAATTGCACTTGATGTGCAACTGCGATTCGTTGGCAAGTATGCGTATGAGTCTACTGGGAACGGCTTATCCGGAGTCAGGGGACTATAGATATACAAGTATTAAACCGCGGGATATCGTTAAGGTAACACATAGGATCTATGAAATGATGGTATAGGGCAGGGGGAAGTGCAAAAGATCTTTTTTTTTATACAACTTAGAATGGCAAACAAGCTGACGTCCCACCTGATGGAAAGTGGTAACCGTCGCCTATAGACATGAGCAGTACCACGGACATAACAGAGTATACTGTTTCGCCCATGATACCCCCCATGCGTTGCCATTCCTGAGGACTCAGGTGTTATTCGTCTGTACCCAGTAAATTCACGCGGCTTAGTTGACCCCATATACAAATATAAGATGTATGTATGTATGTGTACTCGTTCCCTAAGCGATAGTATTGGTAAAATAAAACATTAGACATTTCATACCTGGTTATCTTCTGCTGGGCTACACGCGCTAACCCTACTCGGCGTGGCTTTTTCGGAAATGACCTGCAAACATTGTCCTTCTCAATATAGGGTCACAGTTAGGGTTGTCACTTACATATGTCGGCATCGATATTTTTAATATATTAAAATAAACTGTTCATTAAATTAAGTACTTTACAAAACTCGTGTAACTTATTATGAGACTAAATATATTAAACAAGCTGACGGCCCGCCTGATGGAAAGTGGTGACCGTCGCCTATAGACATGATACATCATGGACATAACAGACTATAGTGTTTCGCCTATGATACCCCCCATATGTTACCATATCCCACCCTTCAAACCGAAACGCAGCCATGCAAACACAACTGCTTCACGGTAGAAACACGAATGGGACAGAGGTAGCCAAGCAACTTTACAGACGTAAACAGCACCGTGGACATCACAGAATACACTGTGACGCCCATAGTACCCCTCATGCGTTACCATTCCCGAGGACTATAGTGTTATGTATTGTTGCTAGTCATTTCAACCGACTTCAAAAACAACGAGGCCTTCAATTCGGGTGTTTTTTTATGTTTGTTACCTCATAACTCCATTACTTATAAATCGAATTGGACAATTGTTTTTTTTTTTTATCTGAAAAGATATACTTACGAATTCATCGTCGTCATATCAGCCTTTAACTGTCCACTGCTGAACATAAACCTTCCCCTTTTATGGGGTTGCCAGTAGTTGCCACGCTTGGCAGGCGGATTGACAACTGTAGTTAGGCTTTAGAGGTGTTTTAAGAGGGACGCTGCTGCCTGGCTGCCTCGCCCTCTCTTAGTCGTCTCTTACGACAGTCACGGGAAAGGAAGGGGTGGCCTATTCTATGCCGGGACAAATGGAACGATCTTAATAAAATGCCTATGGGACCAATTTGTAAGTATATCATCATTCATCATCATTTCAGCCATTATCCGTCCACTGCTGAACATAAGCCTCCCCCATAGACTGCCATAAGGAACGGTCCTGAGCCACCTGCATCCACTGACTCCCTGCAATGCATTTCAGGTTGCCACTCCATCTAGTGGGGGGTAAGTATGCCCTTTTGGGGGGAAAGGGATTGTTAGTAATGGGGTCTAACTGACTCATTGCCAGCAATATAACCTATCAGGTCAACCTCCACGCGGTTCCCCCTGGAAACTATCGTGACTAATTTATTGTTAAATTCGTCACAGTAGGCTAACAGACCTGCCTTTTCATCCTCGCCTATCATCTCTTACTGGTGCTCCGTCAGTGTATACCGATAGCGCAGGCGGGGTTATCATTCCATTATCATTCTTTAAAAAAAAAGTATGTACTTTTAGATAAAAAAGAATTTTTGAAATCGTATTACAATGGAAAAGAAAATTTCTTGTAATTGCCAACCCTACTAGAGGATATTTTACGCGTCGGAATGTTGACTTTGTAAATACATTACGCTTTGGTTGTTCTAGCCTCGAGTTTCCAATGGTTTGTTTTGTGAAACATTGTACCTATGTTGACAAACAAAATATATTTCTCGACTTGGCTTTGGAGTAATATCTAAGAACGAGGAATAATTATACATAAATACAGGTGAATAAAAACTAATGCATTTTTGAATCGTTTTCAATCTACTCTGTAAATCATGATCTATATCCAGTACATAACTAGATAAAGAATAATGTCTTTATCTAGTTATGTACTAGATATAGAATAATAATTAAAAAATATTATTTTTTTTTAAAAGAAAGTATCGACCATCGACTACGTATCGCCAAATTATATTGCATATTCTTCTTAGTAAATAAAAAAAATCTTAGCATTAAAAAAAAAAGAATATTCATTAGTATTAAATTAAAAAAAAAGCATTATTATGACTTACCTTTCACGTATTTAACTTGACTAAACAAACAAAATATGTTCGTAGCTTTTTTTTATACAAATTAGAATGGCAAACAAGCTGACGGGCCACCTGATGGAAAGTGGTAACCGTCGCCTATAGATTTAGATAGCTTTTTGCTGGTTGTTTTGTACGCGTGGATTTCAGAAGTTGGAAGATCAATGCTATAGACTTCTTCTAGACGTATCGAGATGAAATATAAACCAGATTTTAAGATAAACCTTCAGGAATACAGCTGTGAATACCGCAGTTGCGCGATATTCGAACAAATATACGGGCAGTCAGACAAAAATTCTACACTTAGAATGGCAAAAAAACTGCGGCCCACCTTTAGGAAAGTGGTAACTGTCGCCTATAGACATGAGCAGTACCATGGACACAACACGAGTATGTTTCGCCTATGATAGCCCCCATGCGTTGTCATTCCTGAGGACTCAGGTGTGAAAAGAAAGACCTCGACTGATATTGGCCGGCAGTACACGTGCAGTGCCTTTAGTGTTGTGGGTGGTCATGGGCGGCGGTAGTCACTTACGCATCAGGTGAGCCGCATGCTCGTTTACCTGCTGTTATAAAAAATATATTGTGATGATATACCTCGTCATCATCTTCGCTGTCCAGGTGGAGTTCTGATATGTCTGCCGGCACTAGATCCTCGGGTATACCTTTACTCGTGGAAGGTACTGGAGAACTCGGTGTTGCCACTGTTGAAAAAAAATTTTTTTTATACAACTTAGAACAGCAAACAAGCTGACGGCCTACCTGTTGGAAAGTGGTAACCGTCGCCTATAGACATGAGCAATACCATGGCCATAACAGAGTATACTGTTTCGCCCATGATATCCCTCATGCGTTACCATTCCTGAGTACTCAGGTGTTATTCCTCTGTACCCTGTAAATTCACGCCATATCCCACCCTTCAAACCGAAACACAGCCATGCAAACACAACTGCTTCACGGTTGAAACACGAATGGGACAGAGGTGGCCAAGCGAACGACTTTTGTACAAAGTCTCCTCTAGTATTTAATAGTTTCAATAGTAATGCAGTTTTGTTGTAATTATCCCAAGAGCACTCTCTTAATGTAATCACTAATCGTCTAATCGATTGATCGACATTTTAAACATATTATAGATACAAACAATTACAAGAAATGATCACAGTGAGACAACAATGGGCGGCCTTATCGCTAAGAGCGATCTCTTGCAGGCAACCTTTGGATGGAGAGGAGTAATTTTAAACAGTTTGACTGGAGGCACAATGAAAATTCTGTTATCAAAATATAATATAAAACAAGATATCCTAGACTGAAGAGCGGGCGATTTATTTATTTATTTATTCATTAGTACATATATGTGTACATGGATGACTTAATGCTAAAAGCGTTCTCTCCCAGTCAACCATAGGGAAGTGTCAGAATACTCGAATGCGGTACTAGTAATTATTGATATACATACATACTTAAAATACATATATAAACGAATAAATATATATGAATAACAAATATACTTACACATATATGACATATACACGAATTTGGGAATAATATAAAGCACTTACTGCTCGGATAAAGATAAAAAGTGAGCGTGAACGCTTTTTTTGAAAGACGGTTTAGTCGGTAGTGTCTTAATGGCATCAGGAAGCGCGTTCCAGAGCCGTGAAGTATGTAGGCGATTGATGTAATTGTAAAAAAAAAAGACCAACCGTGCTCACTACTATTGCTGATGTGCAGAAGATTCTCTGTGGAAGGCTGCTCCTGCTCCCTACTCCTGGCTTTGAACAACCCGAACTTCACTGGGGCCATGCTCTGAAATTGTCCAATCTGTTATCACTTTGCTGACCGGAAATTACGTCATGATTGGAATCTCTGCCGGGACCACACGGACTTTTTTTTTTAATTTGACAACTCCGTCCGCGCTATCGGTATACACCGGCGGGGCACCAGTGTGAGATGATAAATGAGGATGAAAGCAGGTCAGTTAGCCCATCGTGACGAATTCAACTAGAATTTACCACGATGGTTTTCAGGGGGAACCACGTGGAAGTCGACCTGGCAGGGTATGTTGCTAGTAATGGGGCTATTTGACCCCAATACTAACAATCCCTTTCCTCCCGGACCACACGGACTAGAATAGGCCACCCCTTCCTTTCCCGTGGGTGTCATAAGAGGCTGCTAAGGGAACGTAACGGTCAAGGGATGGACAGCAGCGTCCCTCTTAAAACATCTTTAAAACCAAACTGTGTTCGATCCGCCTGCCATGCGTGGCAACTAAGGGCAAAACCCCTCTAAGGAGAGGCAGCAGATTCAGCAGTAAAAAATTGTGATAAAAACCTTGAAAAGTAACGTTTAGGTCATGAACGCTTTGTAATCCAAATGGTGTTGCCCGTCGTGGTAGGAGGACGTACCTACACGCTGGTGCAATGACGAGTTTACTTGTCACCCATCAGCAAAGCATTTTTTTTTTGATGGGTGGAAATGGTATGATAACCCCGCCTGCACTAACGGTATATGCTGGCGGAGCACCAGTGAAGGGTGATAGATGAGAATGAAAACAGGCCAGTTAGCACATCATGATGAATTCATCAGGAATTAACCATGACAGTTTCCAGGGAGAACCGCGAGCATTAATACCGTTATCCAGGCGCGGATACAGCCCTCAAAGAAGGTTGTGGTCATAGCCATTGGCAAGTCGGTCAAGCGCGAGTCAGAATACAGACTCGCTCAAATTCAATATAGTGCATTCGTAAAAAGATGTTTAAATAATTAAAGATTGTGTCCCGTAAAAAAAAACCGACTTCAATTGTAACTGTTGAGGTTTTATTTATGTTACTTTTAAAAATAGAACTTATTTATTTTCTTTTTATGTCAATGAATATTTTGTTATTAGAGCACGTCACTTTTAAATATCACTATTATTGTACTAGGGAAAAAATATACTATAACTTTATTCAGTATTTTCTATTTTATTGTTCTATCCAACGAACCCTTCACAGTAACAAAACCAGTTATTTTTATTTAAAATACCATAAAAATTTCGATAAAATCTTTAATATACTTGGTCTCATAGAAATTTTATCAAAATCAGTTCAATAATTTAGTTTTTAAATCAAAATAACTGGTTTTGTCACACTTTTTAATTATTGTGAAACAAAATGTTAATTGTTCGTAAGTTGCTTGATATTTTCTATCGCGGATTATTAAAACTATTTTAATATTTACGTGTACGACCTTTTACGACTTTCCTGCAAACATAACAACATTAAACTATAGCCAATGCGAGAGTAAAGAATATTGTTATTTTAATTATTGAAATCGATTCATAAAAATATCAGGTATTGTAAATACAGATGAATAGAAACTTCTGCATTTTTAAATCGATTTGGAATAATATCTAAGAACAAGAAATAAAAACATACATAGATACAGGTGAATAAAAACTAATGCATTTTTTATTCGTTTTCAATCTACTCTGTAAATCATAATAATATATACTAGATATAGAATAATAACCAAAAAAAAATATTTTTTTTTATAAGAAAGTATCGACCATCGATCACGTCTCCTCAAATTATATTGCATATTTTTTATTACTAAAGTAAATTAAAAAAAATGTTACCAATAAAATTATTTAAAAAAAGAATATTCATTAGTATAACGAATGAAAAAAAAAGCATTACTTACCTTTCACGTATTTAACTTCGAGAAATTACTCAAGTGTACACCTAAATATTACATACATTTTCACACTGACTCATTGTAAAAAGGTTTTCTAAACACCAAAAACTTCAAGATTAAAATGCACTCTCAAAAATACAAAGGTAGAAAATATTTGGGTATAAAATATCGGTTTCATGTGATAATATTTGGTAAAATAGATATTTGCTAGTACAAAAATGTTAATGAGTGTTACAGTAGAGCTGAAAACATCACTAGGTGTTTTGTAATGCCCGTGCGGTAACTAACGCGTATTTTAAATGTAACACCTTGTTACCAATGTTATTTGAAACTTATTACTTTTAAAATAACAGACAAAGATAATAAAATGTACCTAATGATCGATTAAATTCTATGATTTTATAGTTACTTTTTATTCATATTTATGAAATCTTAATAATATAATAAAATTGTAACTGGATGGTATGATGTATGTGGGAAATATTTAAGAAAAAATTATCTTAATAAGAGTAATACGAACCAAAATGATCAATTTTTGAAATGTCTGTCTGTTTGTATATTTATGTCATCACGCAAAATGTACAGCTCTAATCGAATGCGGTTTTTATAGTTATATTCCTAAAGGTCTAATTTAAAATCTAGTGTATGTTTAATATTATATACATTATATTGTTTATTTTATTGGATTTCCTATATCTAAATAATATAAAGCTAGTGGAAAATTAAAACACTGATTTGGAGTTTGAAGTTGAATGATTCAATGTTTCGTAGCTAAATGAAACGGAACGTTAATTTGTTTAACTTTTTAATTGTAACAATACATATGCCCCAAAAATATGTAAACTATAATGTAAACGTATGTTTGTTTTGTCCCTTTAATAACTCGATCAACTTTCACGAAATTAGATATAAATATGTTATTAAAATACAGAAGGCCATTGGTTATATTTCATTAGGTAAATCAATGTTCCATTAACGTGGATAAAGTAGCAGGCACTATTAGGATGGAACTTATTCTAGAAAAGAAAACAGAGTGCTGACTTTTTCTAGTTTTTTTCTTCTGCTTAACCTTGTTTCTTCTACATTTTGTTTTATGTACCTTATTGACTCTGTTTATGCATACACGTCGGTTTGGAAAACTAGTATTATGTAATTTTATTGTATATTTACACTATTTAAACCTGTATATAATTCACTTATATAAAGTTTGACTAAAATGATAAGACAAATTCTTTAAATAGTCATTAAATTCCTAGATTTTAGTTATCGTCGGCTTTACTAAACAATTTCAGTCAATAATAATACCATTTACGTCCATAATGTAATAAATATTTTATGTATGAGGATCAGTACTTGTCACCCATTATTTAAAAACGATATGGTAAAATAACAGTTTAATAAGAGTTAATAACGACGCATTTCGTTGTAACGATAAAACACCCTCCGCCATTTTGATAGACAACATCGCAGTTGCGCGCGCAATTTGTTTATAATCCATTTAGTTTCGATTTCAGTACTTACCCTATCCTTTTTATGGCATACAAAAATACACTTTAAATGTATATATATTAAGGATGCTTTTTGTAGTATATGGAGTGTCGTATAAAGTAATTATCACACTTAGCAAATTGCCCCCAAATTTTATCGATAAATAATTCTGTTAGGTCACTAATTAACGTGTAAGTTTTCGTCCAAAACTTTTCGGTATAGTATAAGCAAATTTATTTAGGGTTGGCAACGTTCACGTGAATGTGAGAAGGAAAGGATTATTAGTAACGTGAAGTAACAGGTCCATTGCTAACAATATTACATCGCTCACCATCGACAGGGAATTTATCCTCACACATTTAAACCAAAATGGTCGCGTACAGTGCAGTTTCAAAGGAATTTTCTCCCGCGAACGTTCAGGCTGTGGAATGAGCTTCCTGTCGAGGTTTTCCCTACAGACTATAGTATGAGGTTCTTCAAAAAGTGTATATCAAGGTTTCTTTAGGGTCGGCAACGCGCACGTGACACCCCTGGTGTTGCAGGCGTCTGGCGTTTATCATTGGATGGGCTGTATGCTTGTTTGCTACCTTTGTGGTATACATATAAAACCTTATCAGGTCAATTCTGGTAGAAATTTCCTCCTAGTGAATTCATTACGTTGGGCCAATCGATCTGCTTTCATCCTCACCTATCATCTCTTACTGGTGCCCTAAAAATCAACCGAAAGTAACAAGTCGTAGGCTCGTAGTCTTTGCTACGATGCTACATTGCTACATATTGTGTCCATTCGTAGCGTAGAAGAACTATTGTAGAGTAAGGGCATAGAGCAATATCTGTAGGTATTATTATATACCTTTATTCGTATTTAATATATAGGATATAATGTGGTTACAACATCTATATATTTGTTTGTTAATTTATAGTATGCATAAATAAATAAATGGTTAATATTTGCATGCCATTTGATGTGGCGAAACATAATGGACATCCTGTAAACTTGACAAATGCAACATCTTATTTACAATGTTTCTGGTAAATAAATTTCATTTTATATATTTATTGCATTCCATAATGTGATTAATAGATAACATTTCAACTTCAATTATGGACCCTGTTGGGCACAGCAAGTACCAGAGAGGAGGACAAAAACTTTCTTTTTTCACTTTGAAACTTTTTTTTTAATTTATTTATACCGATACGAGGAACTCGCTTATAACATAATAGTTGATGACTTATTTCCGCCATCAATGTCCAATCCAGAGTAAGGATTAGTAAGGATAGGAGAAAAATAATACAAGAAGCATGATACAGTGTTGTATTTCCTTATTACCATTTAATACATATTTCATACCGTTATTATTTCTCAATTCTTATAAATTAATGTTTACTTGAGTTAGCACCCCTATTATTAGTTTTCACCCAGCCTGAAAACTAGACTTAGGGATATTAACATCTAAATCACGTAAAACTAACAATAATTGACTAGAAAGTAACATGGACAGTGTTTACATACTAATTCGACTAGTAACTTTTTATGGCATTATGAATAGCATGTCTAAGTCTAGTACGCACAGTTAAAAAAGGACACCATAGACTTTCCCGCCAAAAAGGTTGATCAAACAATATCGTCATTATAAACGGTCAATTTCTGTTTAGATAATATTAATATGTATTTAATTAGTCCATGTTTTACTTATATCCGAGGTTTTTAAATAGTACGTCCTCATTTATGGAATGGTCCATAAATGGCGTCTCTCTGAAAATTACAGATGCGTCCGCTATGTGCATTTGCCGTTTTCCGTATCTGAAATAAAAAAAAAAACAATAATTAATAGCTTTATAATTTTAAGTTTTTTTTTTTTACTGTGAAAAAATGGCGGGAACGTTGAACATTTAGTTTAAATTAAAGACAATGTGTAATTGCTTGTTTTCATTGCGGTGTGCTTTGAATATTACGAGCTTCTTATATATGACATTGGCAGAAATGTTCGTAAAAATGATGACAGAACCGATCATTGAAAAAAAAAAGATGGATTTTGTTATAATCTTATAGTGACTAAAAAATAATAGGTAGAGCGCCATCTATTTTATTACATATGAAAGTTGTCTATATCTCATTTCCTTTCAAACATGTTACTACTTTATTTAAGCTTGTTTTTTAGCGAAATAGTGATTGTATATTGTTTGTTGTCGACACTAGATGTCTCTATATATGAAAATGTATACTGGCGCCCAACGTGGTACATCTAAAATCCTATCTCTATTACTTATATACTAAAATTAATACAATAAATCCGAAAGTCTGTAACGACAGATGAATGGTTAGATATTTGTTACTCTTTCACGCAAAAACTATTGAACGGATTTGAATAACATTTGGTGTAATTTACATCTTAACTTAGCAAATAATTTACTTCATATACTGATTCACGCAGGTGAAGCCGTGAAATATAGTTAGTCTAAACTGAACGTATTATAAAGAGAAACTAATATTATAATACCAGAGGGAGACTTCGTATAAAGTCGTTCGCTTGGACACCTCTGTCCCATTCGTGTTTCAACCGTGAAGCAGTTGTGTCTGCATGGCTGTGTTTCGATTTTAAGGGTGGGATATGGCAGTGAAATTACTGGGTACAGAGGAATAACACCTAAGTCTTCAGGAATGGCAACGCATTGGGGGTAATCATGGGCGAAACAGTATACTCTGTTATGTCCATGGTACTGCTCATGTCTATAGGCGACGTTTACCACTTTCCATCAGGTGGACTGTTAGCTTGTTTGCCATTCTAAGTTGTATAAAAAAAAGTAAGATTAGACACAATACTGTTAAGTCCGCCATTTACACTTTCTATGTATGTATTTAAGTTTAATAAATAAGTAAATATTAATACAATGGTACGTCACAATACAAACAAGTTCAAACCTATTATTAAACAGAGTTCTATTTCAGGTTATGAGTATAAGCATTTTAGTTAATAAATAATGTATATGTATGTATGTACGTAGTTCCTAACCCCTTTCTATAATGGTTCGAGACAAAACGTGTAATTAAAAATTTTTATTATAAATATACAATGGTGAGTGACATATGTACTTACATTATATAGATAGAGCATCGAGCCACAAAACGGGTCGACTTTTTGTCAGCTAATTTGACAATTAAAAAAAAAGACGGCCCGCTTTTTTTTTAATTGCGCATTAAAAAATGTTTTAAAAGTTATAAAACAAAATAAATATAGAAGTTGTAAATGAATCACTCGTAACTATTTGTCACGCAAAATTGTATGAAAAAGTTGAGCCGTTTTTTTTCGAAGCATTTGTATGGAGACACTCTATCTATATAATCTAAGGTTACCTCATAACTCCGTCAGTTGCAAACCCGTTTTAAATTTTTTTTTTTATTTGAAAGGATATGAAAATTTTACAAAAATCAGTTCAATAGTTTAATTTTTGAATCAAAATAACAGTTCTTTTTTTAATTTTTTTTTTATGTTATGAGGTAACCTCATAACTCCGTTAGATCTTTGACACTTGATACGACACGACGAACTTATGAACATTATAATAGAAGGTAAGAGAAGGAAGAAGGGGGAGAGGGAGACCGAGACATAGTTACATCAGGCAAATCAAGGAAGGAGTTGGTGTCGTGTCGTATCAAGAGGTGAGGAGACTCGCTGAAAATCGTAGTGAGTGGCAAGAGCTCCACCGACAAGAGCGTAGCTCTTAAATAGGATAGATAGATAAAAAGCATGGATTTATTTTGTAAGGCACTTGAAATTGCCACTATGCTTGAAAGAACATTTTGCTAACGCTAATGTTAGCAAAACATGTTAGAACTATACAAATTCTACCATGAACAACAGAGGGAGACTTTGTACAAAAGTCGGTTGCTTGGGTACCTCTGTCCCATTCGTGTTTCAACCGTGAAGCAGTTGTGTTTGCATGGCTGTGTTTCGGTTTTAAGGGTGGGATATGGCGTGAATTTACTGGGTACAGAGGAATAACACCTGAGTCCTCAGGAATGGCAACGCATGGGGTGTATCATGGGCGAAACAGTATACTCTGTTATGTCCATAGTACTGCTCATGTCTGTAGGCGACGGTTATCACATTCCATCAGGTGGGTCGTCAGCTTGTTTGCCATTCTAAGTTGTATATAAAAAAAAGTATGTCTTTGCACTTACTATGTGCACGTGTTTGCAAATAAATTTATTTTTATCTTTAAATTTAGATTGTTTATCCGTCCGTTGAATCTTCACTAGCCCGTCTCCGGTTCAAACGAGTCTTTCAAGCCCGCATAGAAGTATATTTACACTTTAATTATGTTTTCCCTTCAATTAAAAGTACGTCGACAAGTAGTCTCGAGTTTGTGAAAGTGCTTGTAAGCGATTCGTTTAAAAGTGTTAAGACGGTATGAATGAAGTGACAAACTTTGAAATATATAACCTGTGGTGAATGCAGATGCCGGCGGTGTTGTCAAATAGGAATAATTAGCATTCATTATGGTATGGTAAAGTCGATTGCTTGGGCACCTCTGTCCCATTCGTGTTTCGACCGTGAAGCAGTTGTGTTTCGGTTTGAAGGGTGGGATATGGCGTAAATTTACTGGGTACAGAGGAATAACACCGGAGTCCTCAGGAATGGCAACGCATGAGGGGGTGTCATGGGCGAAACAGTATACTCTGTTATGTCCACGGTACTAATCATGTGTATAGGCGACGGTTACCACTTTCCATCAGGTGGACCGTCAGCTTGTTTGCCATTCTAAGTTGTATAAAAAAAAAATAAGGAAAGGAAGATTTTACAGTGTGCAAGAGTTTTTGATACAAAAATGTTTTACCTACTTGAATTACCTATCGTGTTACAATGCAGCTGTCATCAATAGTCTATGATTTGACAGTGACATTTCTTTTTTTTTTATTGTTGACAAGTGTCTGACATTTGTGATGTATTTTTTTTTATATAACATTTCGAATTTTATGAATGAATGAATGAGTATACTTTATTTGCATTATACAATATAGGAAATAAACAAGACAATTTACAAACACAACGATACAATTGTATAAGTACAGTGAGGCGGTCTTATTGCTGAGAGCAATCTTTACAAGACGACGTTAAGGTAATGGACTAATTGTTGTCCAAGTAGGTATGATAGTGCTGTATAATTAAAAAAGCATCTTTTGCAAATTAAAAATATATATGAAAATATATAAATGACTCATTTAACATTTATACTTTTTAAGTTTTAATATTTGCATGCCTAATTATGGCGAAATATGAGGACTTACTGTAACATCTATACACTTACCATGTTTCTTGTAAATAAATAATTAAAATAAAAAATAAGGGATGGTCCATTCTATGCCGGAACCACACGGCGACTACGCTAGCTACGTGTGCTAAGCTAAACGATGTTAGCATCGCATAGCTTCACTGTCAGTGTGTACTGGTCTTTACGTCTGTATGTTACAACCTATATTTTACAGGTGTGAAACTATAATTTACTGAGTGTGAAGTTATGGGCGTTGCTTTGGTATTCAATGGTTTATTTATTTACGTCATATCACACTCCACCCATATGGATACAAGAAACGCCTCCCCACTTAGAAAATCCCCGATGTAAGAAACTAGCTTTGAACCGTGACTCCGTTCGAACAACTGGGATATGTTCACGAAGTAAAAATATTACATATGTGAAAGTGAGTATTTTTTTATGGATGATAATGGAATGGTAACCCCGCCTGCGCTATCGGTATACGCTGAAGAGGCACCAGTGAGGGATGATTGGTGAAGGTGGAAAGGCAGGTCAGTTAGCCCATCGTGGTGAAATTAACGATAAATTAGTTACGATGGTTTCCACGGGGAACCGTGTGGAGGTCGACCTGATAAGGTATATTGATAGCAATGGGGACTAACCTCCTCATTACTAACAATCCTTTCCCCCTGTGAAAGTGAGTTTGTTTGTTTATCTCTTAACGCTTAAATGCCTTAAACAATTATTATGTGATATATAGGTACTATATGGGATGGACAAAGATATAGACTATTTTCTATCTAGGTCATGGAACATACTTCAGTCACGCGGACGAAGTCGCGGGTAAACGCTAGTATAACATAAAAACCTTCATACCTTCCTCTACCGTGTACGGAGTAATACTCCTGTAGCTCCTTCAGGTAGTTGGAGATCTGCTCCGCTGTGTCGAAGCGCTCGGGGCGGCGTGGGCGCGGGTACTGCGCTTGCGTCGCGCACGACAAGATGGCGGACATCAACAAAATGGCGGATAGAAGAAGTCGCATTGTGGCTGTGTAGAAACACAAAAATATAGATGTTAACGATACATATATGAAGTTTGATGCGATGAAATAGCTTGCATAAAGTACCGTATAGAAAAACTTAACAAGTCTTTTATAGGAATTGGCAATTCCGTACACATTTTATTAAAATCCGGTTCAGTAGTTTAATTTTTAGACTAAAATAACCGAGATTTTGTTCATTATGTTTCATTAAATCTTTCAAAAAAAAAGGTTCACTTTTTTACTTTATCCGAGCAGTAAGTACTTTATATTATTCTCAATTTATTATATAATATAGTATATTTTATATATGTGTAAGTATATTTGTTATTCATATATATTTATTCGTTTATATATGTAATTTTAGTATGTATGTATATCAATAATTACTAGTACCGCTTTCGTGTATGCTGACACTTCCCTACGGTTGACTGGGAGAGAATGCTTTTAGCATTAAGTCCGCCATGTACTTATGAATAAATAAATAAATCTTTGATTACCATATTGACCAAGGTGTTTTTTTTTAATCGGTGATAATCGTATGGTAACCCCGCCTGTCAGTATTCGCTGGCGGAGCACCAGAGAGAGACAGATGAAGATGAAAGCAGGTCAGTTGACCCATCCTGATGAATTCCACTAGATGGTTTAATTCTAGTTGAAAAAACACCAGGGGGAGATCGACCTGATAGGGTATATTGCTAGCAATGCATTAGCTTATAGTTTCACGACCGGCCGATGGTAAAATAGTAATAGATTTTGAAAATCAGTTATTTTTTTTTATTGACTTTGCCTGTCTCCTTGTCGTGCTACTGTACCGTTTATAGGAAACTACGACGATCGATAATACAATAGAGATATCCGTGCCTATCTAAATCTCTTGATCGATCTATAATTACTTAATTGATTTCGCTCAAGCATCCGTTATCTTGCGATTAAACAAATCTCTGTTTGTTAACAAGACGTCACTGTTGAATGTTTACTATGAATTAATCATAAATTTCAAATTGTTCCATTAAAATTGTAATTTGTCAAGGCAACTTTGTTATGAACTGACAGACAAATAAATAAGGGGAAACGTAATAGTAGAAATAGCTCAGTAAGGTATCCGCAAAAGAACCAAAATAACCGACAAAGCCCGAGGGATAAGCAAGCTGAGGTGGCAATGTGCTGGTCACATTGCCACACATTGGTCATAGCTCGAAGAACCGACAACCGATGGGGAAGAGAGTGAGCGACCTTGAGTGGTGACCACGTACGGGTAAACGGTAATGGTACTGCTCGTGTCTATAGGCGACTGTTACTACTTTCCATCAGGTGGACCGCCAGCTTGTTTGCCATTCTAAGTTGTATAAAGAAAAACGCAGTGTAGAACGACCCCGCCACTAGATGGAGTGACGACCTGAAATGTGTTACAGGGAGTCTGTGGATGCAGGTGGCTCAGGACCGTTTTTATGGCAGTTTATAGGGGAGGCTTATGTCCAGCAGTGGACGGGTAATGGCTGAAACGATAATGACGATGATAGTTCAATAGAGCGCTTGACTGCTTTCAAAGTTCCCAAGATCCAATCCCAGTTTAGAATCCTTATTCATAAACACTGAAACCATCTAAAATTTGGTATTTTTTTTTCAAATAAGGAATTCAGCATAAAAGAAAGAGACAAAACAGTTCAATAGCTAAAATAGGTTTATGAGAGGATTTACGACTTTCATATAAGGAACAATCATTACACGAATCACAGTACATAATGCATCTAAGTGTTTAGTATTAATTTGTGATATTCATACTAACTCGCCCCCTTTTTCTGCTCGCGCACGTGTTAAAAAAAAAGCAAAATATATAAAACAACAATTTTCTTTTTTCCTACGTGTCCCATAGTTACCATGTACTAAATAGTCTCAACTCAGTTTATTGTTTTGCCTTGAAATGTACAAAATATTTCTTTTTAAAAGGCCGGCAACACATCTACAATGCCGCTGGTGTTGTAGGTGGTTACCAGAGGGAGACTTTGTACAAAAGATTGCTTGGATACCTCTGTCGCATTCGTGTTTCTACCGTGAAGCAGTTCTGTTTGCATGGCTGTGTTTCGGTAGGGTGGGATATGGCGTGAATTTACTGGGTACAGAGGAATAACATTTGAGTCCTCAGGAATGACAATGCATGGGGGGTATTATGGGCGAAACAGTATACTCTGTTATATCCATGGTCTATAAGTGACGGTTACAACTTTCCATCAGGTAGACCGTCAGCTTGTTTGCCATTCTAAGTTGTATAAAAAAAGGTGATCATGGGCGGCGGTAGTCATTTACCATCAGGTGAGCCGCATGTTCGTTTGCCCAATGTGTTGTAAAAAAAAAACACTGATATTCTGTTGTTTACTATTACAAATTTTGTAAATAAAGAATGATGCATCCATCACGCATCTATCCATCTTTACAAACTTTCAAGCTTATGTCATTAAAAGGAATTTCCATAAACAAGGCGCCCAGATTGGCCAGTGAAAACAAAAGCTACTCGTAGGCCGAAATTATGTCATAGACCGACCTATGAAGAGTTTAGCTAACACTGCATTTGTTTACCAGGCGTGGCTCAAAACGCTGGCTAAAATATTGGGAGATATTTTTTTTTATGCAACTTAGAATGGCAAACAAGCTACCAGCTCGTGATGGAAACTGGTAACCGTCGCCTATGCACATGAGCAGTACCATGGACATAACAGAGTATACTGTTTCGCCCATGATACCCCCCATGCGTTGCCAGGACTCAGGTATTATTATATTATTAGTATTCATCAGGAATTAACCATGATAGTTGGGAGGAAAGGGATTGTTAGTAATGGAGACTGAGAATCCCATTGCTAGCAATATACCCAACCAGGTCGACTTCCTCGCGGTTCTCCCTGGAAACTATCATGGTTTTTTTTGATAGGTGAAAATGGAATGGTAACCCCGCCTGCGCTGACGGGATACGCTGGCGGAGCACCAGTGAATGGTGATCGATGAGAATGAAAACAGGCCAGTTAGCCCATCGTGACGAATTCACAAGGAATTAACCATAATAGTTTCCAGGGAGTACTGCGAGGAGTACGACCTGGTTGGGTATATTACTAGCAATGGGAATCTCAATCTCCATTACTAACAATCCCTTTCCCCCCAACTATCATGGTTAATTCCTGATGAATTCATCATGATGGGCTAACTGGCCTGTTTTCATTCTCATCTATCACCCTTCACTGGTGCTCCGTCAGCGTATCCCGTTAGCGCAGGCGGGGTTACCATACCATTTTCACCCATCAAAAAAAATGCCTGATCTTGTACATACACATATACACATATAAAAATACATAGTTACATATATAAATATAGCTAAATATGTATAAATACAGAATAACTATTATACATATAAGTAAATCAACTGTCAATTGTATTTTTTAATGGATGACAATGGAATGGTAACCCCGCCTGCGCTATCGGTGTACACCGACGGGGCACCAGTGAAGGATGATAGGTGGGGATGAAAGCAAGTCATTTAGCCCATCGTAATGAATTCCAATAGAATTAACCACAATGGTTTCCAGGAGGGACCGCGAGGAGGTCGACCTGATAGGGTCGATTTGCTAGCAATGCATTAATCGTATAAGTTGTTATCTGTCCACTGTATTGCATATTTCCAACTGTATCGGGTTGACTGGAAGAGGTCTCTGTCAGAGATAAGTCCACCCTTGCTCACAACATTTATAAATGCATTATCAATGTAATTTACAATAAAGAACATATATAATTTTTTCTTAAAATCTCGCATCATCTAGTTACAATTTTTTTATAATAATAAGGTAACTATTTAAACTATATATGTGTATAATTTAAGTCACAATACAATTGTTATGATAACAATCTATCCATATTAGATTGTTATTTTTACCAAATGAAGATTTTGTACAAAAGAGAACGAATATATATAAGAACATATATATATATATATATATATATATATATATATATATATATATATATATATATATATATATATATATATATATATATATATATATATATATATATATATATATATATATATATATATATATATATAGCTGACTCGGCAAACGTTGTTTTACCATATACATTATTTCGAGAACTGTACATGAAAATTTATCATACTACAATTATTATATTCGATTGCCATCTTGCAACCCTATTGCAGAATATAAAAATCGCGATTAAAAAATAGGGGTTGATCGTAAAAGGGTAAAAATTTGTAGCTGTATCTATTTTTCAATACTTAGTCATAATAAAATAAAAATTAAAAAAATTGTCATAAAAATAAAGAAAATAATTTTAGGGGTGGGTCACCCTTATCATTGAGGGCTATGAAAAATAGATGTTGGCCGATTCTCAGACCTACCCAATACGCACACAAAATTTCATAAAAATTGGTAAAAGCGTTTCGGAGGAGTTTGGTAACAAACATCGCGACACGAGAATTTTATATACTCGTATTAGATATTTTCATGTTTTAATGTTTCCATAAAGAGCAAAGTTTACTAACAAAACTAGGTGTACGTTTATGACAAAACTGTTAAAGTTAAAAAAATATTTCCTCCAAGCGAATTAGCTTTTGCTCCCCCTCGTTTTTTCCGATAGACCCGCTGTGAAAATTACCTGCAAATCGCTATTCAACAGGTACTAGTGTTGTGTGTATAAGAAAAAATATTATATCGATAGTTTTTTTTTTATATTTAGATATTCTACATTTTATATATTTGTTTATATATGTATATATATTTATTTATTTAATATATTATGTGTATGTTTATATTATATGAATTTAGAGGGAGACTTTGTACAAAAGTCGATTGCTTGGCTACCTCTGTCCCATTCGTGTTTCAACCGTGAAGCAGTTGTGTTTGCATGGCTGTGTTTCGGTTTGAAGGGTGGGATATGGCGTGAATTTACTGGGTACAGAGGAATAAAACCTGAGTGCTCAGGAATGGCAACGCATGGGGGGTAT